GAGTGAGGAATCAGCCTAACACCCACAGGTTACTCCAAGAAAGCAATGCCAGCCTTCCCAGCAGGAAAGCAGACACTCCACAGTCTCCTAAACCACAACCACCCAGTTTCCAAGTGCAGCCCCCAACTCCGCACCCCACCTCCACCGGAGGAACCGGAGCAATTCTTGGGGAAGTTTGTCACCGTAATGGATGATGCCACGGCACACGGCACCCAAGACAGGTGAGGCTGCATCAAGCGGAACAAATCTGTATGGATGATGCATTTCTGCTGGGGCAGGCGAAGGCTTCATGATGATTTATATATTTGCGGCTCTTGCCCAAAGAGTAGTGCCCCAGCATGGGTCACTGGAGCCCTCTGCTGAATACACCTTCGCAGTGCCGGGAAAGGAGGACGAATGATGCTTTGGAAAGGCAGATGCTGCGAATTTAACATTTTGGGGGGCAGCTCAGAAGCTGTAATTAAAAAGAAAAATACAACAAGAAAATGCATGAATAAATGTTGCGTGTCAAGGTGTCAGTGTGAGACTTAACCACCGGTGTCCTTTGGAAAGGGTCCCAAACCCAGAGCTGTGGGTCAGCACTGAGCTCAAAGAGGTTTGAAAACCTTTCGTCTCTCCTGTCCTGCCTTTAATTACAGCCATGCTGTGTGCAGTACTTTTAAAATTGTGGGGTGTCAGCTAAACTCCAGCTTAAAAATTAGATTAGGCTTTTTTTTTTTTTCCTTTAAGTCAGCCACGTCCTGCACTCATCTGGTGCCTTCCTCTGCCAAGGCATCTCCAGGAGATTTTTAAGTGACGGGCAATAATATACTAATAATCGACAACCTTTCCAGTGCCAAGGTCTCTTCCTCCATCTGCTGCATTTTCAAGAGCCCGTCACGTGGTGAAGACATCCCTGCACAGGTACATTCCCATCCTTGCCTTCTCACCCCAGGAAAATGAAGCAAGTGAACGGGCATGGGAGAAGCTGTGATTTCTGCAGAAAAAAATATTTAGGGTGGAGATTGTTCCTCTAATCTAAGTGCTTCTCGCCAAGAAGTTAGAGAAAACAAAATGACAGATTGAAAACCTGAAGGTTTGTGTGGGCTTGACCTGTTGTTTTGAACTTCTGCGTGTCGGGGAATTGTTTGGGAACCAGCTTTATTGTACTGAAACTGCATTTTAAGGGACCCTTAAAAACGTTCCTCCAGCTGCATCGTTTTACATCGAGTGCCCTCTTGCTGTAGAGGAATTCAGTCATTTTAAAAACTTAGGTGGGGTTGCACAAGACAATAATCCCAAAGGTAGTATTGAAATAATACCTCTGGGTCTGCTTATTCTCCGTCACTCTGGGCTGGTGAAAGCCCTCCGGTCAGAGTGGAAATTATACCTGCCCTGGAGCTGCTTTACGTTATCTGAAGCTTCAGCACAACTGAGAATAAGGACCATATCAAGGAATAATGATAAATGTTTGCAAAATACATTAAAGGTAAAACCCACAGTGTTAATAATGAGTGGTGCTGCTCTGTTTTATCCTCTTACCTCAACAGTAGCTAATGGACAGGAGGTCGTAAGAAGGAATTTCTTTTTATTTTTAGTAGCCTTAAGACTCTTTTAAAGCCTTCACCCCGATGTGCTGTAGGAGTAATGAATCATACCCTCGGCGTGATGTTAGGATTCAGCACCACGCAGCGTTTTCAGGTGTGAGGAGATGAATATTGTTCTGTGGATGAGTTTCCTTGTTAGTGTGGGTTTTTTTAAAAGGCTTCATTGAAGTGTCTTGCCATAAAATTATGCTTTGATCATATCCATTTGCTGTTAATGAATCCAGATGGGTTAGAAGCAACTGGATTGTAACTCTCTGATAATACGTGCGCTGCCTTTCATTTTCTCGCGCGGAGTTTCAGAAGATCCTGCGCTGGCCCGGCTAACGAATCCAGCGGTATTAACGTGGCCTGATGCATCCTAAAACACAGTGTCCCCAGAGACATATGCAGATGTGTCAGGATCGCTTTGGAAAAGGTTAAAATACTACAGAAAAGTGGCCATTACATATCTGGTACTGTCTTCTTTCATATGGTAATCTCCTTTTTTCTTTCTTCTATTTTTTTAAATCATGCAAGTAGCTTTGTATTTCCTTTAAATCAAAAGATCTTATTCTAAAATCAAGATACTGGCAGGAGCTTAGCTCTGATTGTAATGCTGTTGTAGAGAGGAGAAAGTAAGTGGAAGAAACTATGTGGAAACGAGCAATACCTTCTCTTTTAATGTACAATCTTTGGATTTTTAAGTTGTTTGCTCAAATGTTGAGTTACCTAAAAAAATAGAAATGGGGTGGATCGAGACCAGGTTTGATTCCTCTTCGTGTGGTTGCATGTCAAAGCCATGAAGTTTGCTATCACACGAGGATGCCTGGGAGGACAGATCCTTCCCCTGGTAAGCTAAGAGAGATCAGGTGATAGCATGGTTCTGCTGAAAATCCCACCCACCAGGTTGCTACATGTGTTCAAGGCCAGGTTGGATGGGGCTTGGAGCAACCTGCTCTAGTGGAAGGCGTCCCTGCCCATGGCAGGGGGGGTTGGAACTAGATGATCTTTAAGGTCCCGTCCAACCCAAACCATTCCATGAGTCTATGATGCTAGTCTATGAGTTAGCAAGGATTTTTTTTTTTTAATTCCCTATGCATAAATGTTAACGTTAGTGCCACACCCCTAAGGATCAGGATCAGCCCCCAGAAGGAGACTTGGATTTGGATTGAAGCTGCACAGCAACTTCTGTATTTTCCATTTGTGCAGTCAGAGATGTTCTCGTGGCTCATGTCAGCAGGTTGGAGAGTCGTGTTTTCCTCTGCTGACAGACAAACGCTGGCCATGGGAGCACCTTTAAGCCATCTAGGTGCAAAGTGAAGCACCTCTGCTGAACCGCCTTGCACTGATTGTGGTCGTTGGTGCTTGAAGGTTGAAGGACAGCAGCTTCTTAACCAGCCCAAATGCAATGAAGGCGTGACTATGCCCTACCTCTGGACCAGTGGATCTAATGGATCTAATTTCCCCAAATTACTAGGTAATTTTCACACCGCATTTATCAGCCTAACGTGCACAGGCTTGAGTTCACTCTCAAGGGAGAGGTGCCAGATCGGTCTCACATTTTAGTAGGATTTGGGTAGATTCTTAAAACGCCGCTTTTGCCCTTGCTGCGGTCAGCCTGGCACACCAAGCAGGGATAGCACAAAGCCTGGGCGACGTTTGAATCCTGCAGCTGATGAGCTGTGCTCACACCTCGGAGCCCATCGGTATGAAAACAGCATCCCTGGCTGCTGCAGCTTCTCTACGCAGTTGTCTGCTTCGTTTGCTTGCGATGACTCCGGGTTGCAAGTCCTTTAGGGTTGGTTGTTCTCCTCCGTGCGCATCAAGCCCAGGGTGGGATTGAATATTTATTAAAATACAGATACTTGTAATAACAGGAGAAGCAATGTAAACAAGAGCATCTGAGAGGCAGCTACACCAGACTACATTTTTGTTTGGACAAAATAATCCCAAATTGTTGCTAATTACAATATGAAAGATTGGTTAATTCCTGTGATTTGCTTAAGAGAAAGCATAATAAGATACAAGAGCAACCAAAGAGAAGTTGTTTTTTTTTTCCTCCCAAGTACAGTTGTGAGCCAAGGATGTATCAGGAACAGCACAGGCGGTGACTATGCCTTCACTGAAACCCCCACATGCTAAGGAGTCATGTGTGCTCTGAATCAGGATGAGGTTTGCAGATGCTTTTTTACCAAATCAGGGGCAGGTAGAGGAGAAGAATCAATTCCTGTCACTCAGGGGTTGCTCTGGAGGAGCAGGATTATGGATCAGGGCTATGCTGCCGCACTTTAATCTGGAAATCAATAGAGAGATGGAAGTTGGGCTTGTGGAGATGTGGCAGAGATGATGATTTGGGGTTTGATGAGATTTTGCTCTGCAAACAACTGAGGCACTAACTCCTTTTCACGTCCTGATTAACACAGAAAAAGGGCTAAATTCAGCCTTGATGCAGCTCTCTCGATGTCCCCGGGGTCCCCCCATGTCATTCGAGTCCAGAATTTCTCAGACGAACCAGGGTTCATAAATGCTTCAGTCTCCTTCTTTGCCTTTGCACATAGCTCATGAATAACCCTTCGCTCTACCGAGCCTAATATTAATTCAATTTATATCAACCTGGGACTTTGATAACCTTCCTTCTGTCTTGTTTGTAGCAACCAAATTAAATACAGCAGGCAGTGTTACAAATACAAACTGTGCCAAGTCACCTTGGGGTAGCTCAGAAATCCCAAAATTCATACAGAGCTGTTTAAGTCTTGGACATTATCAGATATATGGTACCTTCTGCAGGCTGTCCGAACTTGCTCATCTTTGGGATGTGGAGCAGCGTTTTTGGTTTGCAGATTTGCCCTCTTGTTCCTATGATTGTAGTACACTGCTTGGGGTAACAAGAGGATTGCAAGGTGCTACCTAAACCTCAGAGGCCAGCAGAAGGCTCATGCTCTACACATGCAGCTTGTATGAATGGGAGTGATGGGTGAAATCCCTGGTCTTTAGGGTAGCCTGCAATCTGTGAGTCCAGAGGTATTTGTCAGGCTGAAATGCTCAGGGTTTGCAAGTCCAAGCAGAGCTCAGAGAAGCTGTGTGTTCCTGGTTCCTCTAAAAATCACACTTTTGGGTTTTCAGGTTTCATCTAGTGAAGGAAAGACCTGGTGAACTCCGCTGGTCCTCAGCAACTGGCTCAGAAATCCAAACTTTCAGACCTGATATTCAAACCCCTAAGCCACCCCTCTTCATCTCTTGCACGGTTTCTTCTTTTTTTTCATTTGTTCTGCTTTACGTCACTCGGTGAAATGGAGTGCTCCAGCATCTGCTCAGCATTGGGGAGCATCAGCTGTACAGTTGCATCTGTGACTCTAACTAGCAAAACATGAGAAGGCTAAAATTAAGATATATGCTGAACTGCTATTCATACTTCTGCTTTTGTTTCTTTTCCAGAGCACGGTAATTGTGGAGAAGACTGTTCAAGACCTAATGAACCTGATGCACGACTTGAGCGCCTATTCGGATCAGTTCCTCAACATGGTGTGTGTGAAACTCCAGGAGTACAAGGACACCTGCACCCTTGCCTACAGGTACAGGCTTGGAAACCAATGTATGCTGGAGATACTGCTCGTGGGCTTTTGCAGTTTTACCATGAGTAGGCAGGAGTTACTTCTAGACATCATCTCTGCTCGGATGGTCAAGGATATATCTTTCTAGGTGGGGAAAAAATCTGAAATAATGATCATTGGCATATGAAGAGTCTTGGCTACCCAGTGACTTTATCCACATCACACTGCGGTTTACGCTCTTTAAACGTGGGTGACAGTGGTAGTAGAGCTTAGAAAGCACACGGTTTTTCTCTTAATCAGGCAAAAGGTGACCTCAGGTTGGAGATGGAGAGTATAAGGCATCATCTTTAGCATAAATAGCTGTATATAGGTATTGCTCTCTTGTAAAACAAGTCAAATCCTTCCATTTGAGTGTTCCCAAGAGATTCAGCTAGATTTTAGTTAATTATATTGAGATTTGAGTATTCACATCTCGTAGCAACATGGAATTAGTAACCACAACACACCACATAAATACACACACGCTGGGTTTTGTGAAACTTTCCCAAACCCTTTCTGTAAACTTATTCTTTCAGGGGGTCATCAAATGCTTTATCCTTGGCTGTCTTTGTTCATTAGCATTTTCAGGTGATCCACCTCTAACTGCTTCCCCACCACGGCGCGGAAGCTGAACACAGCGTAGTCCCACTGGGCACAGAGTTACCATGCTGGGTCGTTCGGTTTAAGTCCTTCGGGTATTTGCTTTATCAGAGATTTCCTGGGTAACCGTTGATAAGTAACTTATTCTCTGTACATCCCAGTTGCCCGTCTGTAAAATGGCCCTCCCTGGAGAGGGGGGCCAGGAGCGTGCCCTGCACCACAGGGGTAAATACTTGCATTGAAGGACACTAAAGATGCTGCGGCAATGTGGGCTATAATAGCTGCTATACATAATCTCCTTTAATAGCTAATTGAGGCTGGCGATAGCAGGGGAAGCTGAAAAAGCCCCTTGTGTTTTCTGACCAAGAGCATTAAGAAATTATTTCCTATTGCCTGATTTCATTCAGGAGAAGCTTCATCTGGCGAGCGGCTGCGTACAGGCTCATTATTATTATTAATAATGCCAACAATATCAGTGAGCACATATGTGGGCTAAACTTTGTCTGAGCGCTCGTGTAAATTGGTAGCCACTCGTGTGCCGTTGTCCAAAATGCTTGTATTTTATAAGAAACTTTACTGACTGGAGCCAGACAATAGATGTAATTTCTTTGGCTTGAACTTAAAGGTCCTTCCTTCCTTCCTTTGCTGATACCATTCTTGGATTTGGCACCTGCTGAGGAGTAATTAGGACAGCCCTAATTTGGCAATATCCTGATTACAGCAGGAGGAAAAACAGGAAATGTTCCAGTTTTGCTGCTAGCAAATGACTGACTGAAATAGAAATCTATATACATTTCAAATGATGCAGAAGAATATAGCAGCTACCCGCCTTTCCCAGGGCGAGCGGTTCAATCCGCGGGGACGTTATGCCCTCTGCAGGGATCTCACGTCGGTACGGCTCCGCGCAGCCTTGCCCTTTGCACCAGGGTTTTCCCTGGGGGGTTGAGATGGGTAAATCCTCATGTTGATAAAGTTAGTGGAGGAAGGATCATTTATAGCTGCTTAAAATCAGAGAAAACTCCCTAGAGCTGTGTACTAATACGATCAGGCGAAGCTATCGGAGCAAGGGAGTGTGTGTCTGTTCTTGAGATGTCAAGATAGTGAGAATTCGGGAAGCCAGAGAGATGGTTTATGCAAGATTTGCACATGGCATTCGTTCGTTCCCCATGTGCATGTGTTTCTTGAAGGGGAGTATGAGCAAACGTGGATGAAATGTATTCAAATACGGGCTCCTCAAAGCAAGACTGTTTTATTCGGAGTCCTTTGCAGAACAGATAGCTCTGTCAGGACGTCAGCGCTAAGAAATGCACAGCTGAGATTTTTCATGTTTGATTTCCATTTGGCTCTGATTTTCTAGTGAATGCAAAAAAAAAACCTGACAGGGCTGGATATGAATGGATTGGACATTTATATAAGTAGCAACTATGGATTTTCTTGTTTTAATTGATGACGAATTTCGGAAGCGTATTTAATCTGATGTAGGTGAGATGTCTTCTGCAAATTACATGTTTGTGAGAAGTGCAATTTCAGTTTGACGCAAACTGTTTACAAATGTGAGTTATGTTTTCTGACTGGTTTATGAGGGGTTGCGTATTAAAATGAAAACAGAAATGGGAGATAGAGCCACAAAACCTCCTGCTGTGTTGGCAGTACTTTTCTTAAGTCTTGTCCAGCCCACGTCTAGCGGCTTCTTCAGCAAATTTCTATGAAAGCAGCTGTACTCCTGAGTTAAGCCTGTATAGTTAAACCATTTTTATGAGGCTTTGGGAAATACTGCAAGGCCATAGAAGGAATCACGGGGACAGGCAAAAACCTGACCGGTTCAAGGTAGCTACCCTTAACATGAGTCTTTCTTTTTAATCTCTTGCCAACACCCTTCTCGGACAAGGTTTGCTGTCTTGAGCACTAAAACCAATCTCTTTCCATGTCTCTCTACAGAAGTTGGCCCCATGTTTAGTTATGTTCATGCTGAATTTGCAGATTCTTATTTTGTTTTCCAAGTTTAAGCTCTGTCCTGTGTGTCTACATCCTTCTTGTCAAGCTTCATCCTCTCTCCCTTGAACAGCCATCCTTTTGTGCATTTTTCAACCTATAAGAAGAGTCTGAGTAAAGGCACCACTCACCCAAATAACTCTCTTTAGTCTGCAAAAAGAGATGGACATTTCCAAAGAGTGATTTGCCTTAATTAAAATGCCTAAACTCTCTGGAGATGCCCAGCTCTCTTCATTGGCATGTGAAGAGCTGCTTGTGGTGACCAGCCTCCTGGCTGAACTGGCTCAGCTGAATCTGTAAAATTAGGTGGGGTAAGACTGGACCTAAAACTCTCCAAATGTTACGGGGGGGGGGGGGATTTAACAGGTCCTGCTTTACAGCCAGGCAAAATAAAACTAAGCCCCTTTTTATTGATAAGGAAATGAGGAGCAGATGTATTTATCCAAGGTGTGGGGTCTGTGGTCAAACGGGATTTCTCAAGTCCCTAGGAAATGCTCTTGCTACTCAGTTTACTGCTTCTTACTGGCCTCTTCCCCTTCTTGCATTAACTTTTTGGTTTTCCAGTTGCCCTTTTGACTCTTTTGGGGCAGGGTTCTGTCTCCCACAGGCCATTAGGTACCTGGCAGATGCTGAGCACGCTTTTAAACTCTTCAGCAGTGTGAGCAGGGCTCAGCATGGAAACATCACCTTGGCCCTGTGAAGAGAAAAAAAATAATTTCCAAATACCTTTGGCACAGGGCAACAGAGTCCAATTAACCCCTATGGCCCCCAGATGTTTTCTTAATGAAAAACCATGGCCCCCCAGCTGTGTACCCCATCACTCTATTCCCAGCTCAGGGCGGCAGTGGTGCAAACCTGGGACCATTACCACCAGCAGATGTTTTCTGGATAAAACCCACCGAGCTGCGGAGGGGTGAACCCTCCTCACCCATGTGCCATCACCTGTGTAAGTGTTACACCTATTCCCTACCCGCTCCCGGGAGCTGGGTACAAACAGATGGCATTTTCCTTGGCCCGTTGAGCTGTGAATTAATTAGTTGATTATGGCACTGGTGGTAGCAAGTAACCCTATTACAGAAGCAGGAAAAATTACATAGGAGTTCGGGAGAAGGGGGGGGTGTTTGAAGGGAAGCGTTTTGAGCTGTACTAAAACATGTCATCCTGTCTTGTGATAATTTACTTGAGGACCCGAATTAGATTGACATTGATAGAAGTTACGGAGGTTGAAAACTGGCTGAGATACTAGAAAGAAAAGGTGGGGAAAAAGGAGTCTGTAATTGATGGGAAAAGCTGGGCGTCTAACGGAGATCGGGGTATGCACCACCCTGTTTAACATCTTCCTTAATGAGGGGGTGGTTGGAGTAAAACCAACCTGTCAATAAAAATTAGAAGGTGTTGCAATCATGGGAAAGAATGGGGACATAATTCCAAGGGACCCACGTAGTGGTGGCAGTGTCCCAGCATCGATTAATTTGAAGCTCCCTATTGATTTCAAGGGAGAATTTGGCTTAGGGCTCCAGTGGACCCATGAGTACCACATCGCTGAAAGGAGAGAAAAGCAGGAATCATGTGGGTTAGGTTTTTGGAAAAAACTGACCCTAGAAAAGCAAGGACATCAAGCTCAGTTTGCAGCTTGCTATAGCAGCCAAACATCTTCCAGTCTCTCCTCCTCCAAAACCCACTCCAAAAAGCAATAGGATTTGAGGACAGCAGATAATAAGGATCATAAAACAGAGAGGTAGCTCTGTCCTCCGTATAACTCCATCAGAAGACTCCCAAAGATGACTTGCGTTCGTAGACATCTCAAGGGCTAAGATAAGGCTGTAAATAACTGAAGAGAGTAAATAGTGAAAGTGGTGAGAGCCGAGGCTGCTGTAAGGGGAAATAACAGGGAGTAATGGGATGAAATTGAGTAAAATAAAACACGAGCACAGTATCACGATTATTTTTTTTTGTCCAAGAGTTAGATTTGTTCAACTGTGAAATAGACTCCCAAGGGAAGGAGACTATTACTTTAGTCATTTAAATCTGGAGAGGACAAAGCAGTGGCTAATATATTCAATGGAACAGTTGTCTTGCCTTGGCAGAGAAATGGCCAGATATCATCGAATTCAGTTTTTCTATCTTGGATGTCAGAGATTCTGGTGGAGCTTTTTTTTTCCCCTCAGATTTCACCAGGTTGAAAAAAAGAGCCCTTTTTTCGTAAGTGGAAAAACACCAAGTTCCTAACAGCAGCAGAAGGCCAAATTGAAATTTTGACGCCGAGGTCTTCTGTGGCTGGAAACAAAATTCATTCTTTTGTCTGTGGCAGATTGAACATGAAATTTAAAGTGAAGGAAAATATATATGTAAGCGCATGTGACAAATTCATTTTCACAAATTGTGTGTACTTACGGAGCAGAGGTTGTTTTCTTGGTGGTAGGTGAAAGGAGTGATAAGTTGCTCTATGCTGGTGGGAAAAGAAGTAATCTGCTCTGTTTCAAGATAGAGCAGCCTTGGCTCCTATCTCAATGACTTTTTCACTGTTTTCCTTTTCAAAACACAGATAGTCAGTGTGTTGTTACTTTTATTTCTATTTATTGACCAATATATACCTTTCAGGAAATGTAAAATGAGGCCGGTTAATCCACATAAACCCCTTAGAAATGTACAGGGTCTCTATTGTGATCTTGCATGACCCTTCCCAAAATCACCACCTGAATGCTAGTGACAGCTCTGAGCATCTCTTTACCCCATGCAACATCCTAGCTTCGATCCAGAAGTGTGCAACCGAGTAAATGGCACCGCAAGGTCCACATCGAGCTGACGTGGGCTGAGCCAGCACAGATATGTCCCTACTGCAACACCCAGCAACTCCAGTTCTTGGCTGACAGACCCAGTATTGAATCTCTGCATCTTTTTGATGCACAAAGTTTCCATCCATGTCGGAGGAGCCGTTTTTTCTGGGGGACAGTAACAGAAAAAGATCTACCTGGCATTTACAGTCCAACCCCTTGCATTGTAGGACACAGCAAACCTGCATTATTTCTCAGTGTCTTGTAGCCTCGTGAGCAAAGGGGTGGTAGGTGTTTGAGGGGAAACACACGTCCCAGAGCCTTTTCTGTATTTTTGCACCATCTCTTGGTGCACAAGGGAGATCTTGATTCTATTGTTAACCTGCAGCTAAGCTTCTCGATAGGAACAGGACCTCTAAGACCTTGTCTTTTCAGATGCTTCCTTTCTCAAGTCATGCTGTGCTGCTTGTTCGGTGGGTTTGCCCTGTTCCCATTACAGAGGGCAGGGAAAAATCCTGCTGCTGCCCATTGGAGAGGTCACCACCATGCTTTTGCTTTGAGTGATGTGGACAAGTTGCACATGTTTCTTCTTGGGCTGGAGAAGCAGTCCAACTGGTCACCATGCAAGGACCTCCTAGAAGAAGAGCCTTCCAGGTGCTCACCAGAGAAGGAAATCAGTGATAGGATCTAGAAGGAAACACCAGGAACCCTAACTCCCACTTGCCTTGTCCAAGAGATAGCAAAAGACATCCCAGATCCTTGCTGTCTCCTGACCAACCCAAGAATGGCAGAAGATGTTCCTCTCTCTAGTCACAGTGTGCCAGTGAAGTAGCAAACGTTGACGAGGACTATGCTGATGGTTGTTCATGAGCAATCCCAACACAAAAAATAGGCACCTAATTGACTTTTCCAAATACAGCATCCTGTTTGTCTCCTGCAGTTGCCAGTGAGGAATTCAGATTAGTTACACTGCCAAAAATATTAAACAGGGAAAGTCTTCATAATTGGAATATGCTGCGATCTTTGAGTCGATTTCACCCATACATACGATTTAGCTGAAATCTGTATTATCAGATGTTTTGGATGACTGGAGAGAAGATCCCGGACCCTTCATTTCCTTTCATTGCTTCAGACCTGGTCCCCAAGCTGGGCCAGCTGGTGTGCAGTGAGCTGGTGGCTTCCACCCAGGTCTTCCTGGGCAGGTTTCCACGTTGCAGTCACAACACAATCAGCAGCGGCTGGCGAGCTTGATTGAGATTGCAGAGAACAAATGAGCCATGGAGAAACTACCTTCTCTCTCTTCTAGTACAGAATGACCTCCTCCGGTTGTGTAAATGATTGCAGGTTGAATGATTTCAAGGGTGGGGAGAACATGGCCCTTTTTCCCTTAAAGGACTCTATCAAAGTACATCAAGAGTTGTGAGTTTAAGAGAATTTGTATTCTGTCCACCCGTGTTGCCGTGCCTTCCACACGAGCGCTTTGTTGAATTCCTCTTTAGACCCCTTCCTTAATGCTTAATGCACCTTTGTATGTGATAGGGATTTTAACGAATATCTGCGGAATTGCGTGAAAAGTACAATTTGCTTCGCACTAATGTGATTGTTGCTGCTTTCCCCGTAGGAGCATCGTGCAGTCGGATGAAAAGCTGGTGATCAGTGCATCCTGGGCTAAAGATGACGATATTAGCAGGCTCCTGAAATCTCTGCCCAACTGGAGCAACATGGCTCAGCCCAAGCAACTGAGACCCAAGAGAGAGGAGGAAGAAGACTTTATAAGGTAAAATATTTTATGAAGTTGTAAAAGGGTTTCAAGGAGAGTAGCAACAACAGTAAAACTTGCTGGAAACAAAATAATTATGGTGTTTGCATAGCTGTTGTGTCCCCAGGTGTGAGAAGAGGTTGGGATGTGATCTTTCCTCAAGTAGAGTAATGAAACTTGAGTCCACGTGCCATTATGCCGGGTTATTTTAATCCCAGGCACCAGCTTTGCTGAACTGAGAACTTCCTGTGTGTTGCCTGGATTTGGTTCTGTTGATGGTATCGAGAAATTATTAAGGAAATGACCTGTTTGGGGGATGTTTCTGGGGTTTGCTTATCAGTCGTATGATGGATTGGTAGATAAACCATCCTGAAGCTCTTTATCCTTCAAGAGAAAGGAGAAAGCAGAGCTTCTCACACGCAACAAGGCCAGAAGAGAGGGAGACCATAGTTCAGTAAGGAACTTCAGTGGCAGTGCCAGCTTGCTGCTTCCCTGCCCTTATTGCTCATTTCTGCTCTCTGTGTTGTTCAAACAAGGCTATTTGAAGAATCATGCTTGTGAATCGAGTCAGGAAAGTGCCTGGGACTGGGGAGGGAAAGACAGGGTTACTTTTAATTCAGGCAGCTCCTTGTCCTGGTTGATGGTGCTACTCTTATCACCCATGCAATGAAGAGAGCTGCAGTCTGCGACCTAATGGAGGGGCCAGCTGGTTGTACTGGGCAGGAATTCCCAAAACGGGCATTGTCACCAAAGCTGTCCTCCTTTTGAGCCGTGACCTGGTGGTGTTTCTCCTCTGTCCCAACACCAGGAGCTATGTTAGGAGAATATTGGTGAAAATGAAAAATGAAAAAAGAAATTGGTGAAAATGAAAAATACTGGTGTACTTCCAAAGGGGATTCTTTCAGAGGCAACTTGCTGTGCCCAAACCAGATTGTTTCTACCTGTTCAGGCAAGTGAAAGCCTGTAAGTAGGCAGATTGCCTTTCCCTGCACACTGTAAATGGCTTAGTCTCTGAATTGTTGACGCTTCCCAAAGAAACAGGTCCTCTTTGTCATTCCAGCGAGTCAAAAAGCTTGTCTGCACATTCCCATCACTATTCATCACTTCCTTGATTGGCATTTGGCTATAAAACTGTAGGAATAAGTGAAGCTGTTGAAAATTACAAGTCTAATTTGCCCAGATTGTCATTTTACTTATTCACTGAATGCAAGCACAATAACATAAAGATGATGCAGTCTAAAGAGAGGAACGATGAAGAGTATAAAATATGTCTAGTCACAGAAATGTTTGCTCATACTGCAGTGGGGATAATCAGCTTTGCCAGTGTTTTAAAAAATCTTCAGTGTTACTGGAAGAGTGAGGATGAAGAGCCCATGAGGTCTTTGTGCAGTCCCTGAGTTTTTTGCGATTCATCGATTCAGTCCTAGCCTCCATCTTTGCCTTCGCATTTATCCTTTGTTCTTGGCACAGAAAGGTGTTGGGATGCCCTCCTGGCTCTTACTGTGATTTGTGCGCTGTCAGCATGGGACACCAGAGCTCCCGTGGACGCAATGCTGGGTACTACAGCCTGAGCGTAACCTGCTAGTGTAAATTCCCGGCCAGGCTAAATCTGATGGCCAAGCTCAGTCTGATGCTAGCAGTGCCAACATTTTATTCCAATATTGCCATTTTACTATTCATTAATTGAAGTATTTTGTGAAATTGTATTGGAGGTGTTAGAGTGGAAAGCCTATTAGGTCATCTACATGGAATTCACTGGGAAAAGCTCCTGTACTGTGTCTTTTTTTAGCCTAAACATTAGGACAAAGATCTTTTCTTAGTATCTGTTTGCACAGAGCATCATGTATTAAGCTTCAGCTCCTCAGAGTGCTGTGTGAATGCTCTTGTAGCATTAATTTAAATGATAATAATTGGTCGGGGCCAGTTTTAGCCATTGATGGTAAGCGACATGGCTTATAAACTTCCTCAAGAATCTGTGCATGGTTGAATAGATCTCTCCTGAAAGCTTCAAAATAAAATTAATTGCTTGTCCAATTTTTTGTCATCTTTCCATTTAAGCAGACTTTTTGCAGACTTTCTCCTAATACAAAGGAATGTGATTTCTTCACTGCTGTTGCTTCTTTCTCTTCCTCTTGGCGCTGCTGATGAATCGGGAATAATTTTGCCATAGCCATCACTGCCTGAACACAGCAAAAGGGAGCCAAAGGGAAATGGGTCCTGCGGATACCTTGGTTATTAGGGTCGTGGCTGTGGCGAGAGAGCCTGGGAGAGCTCATTTCATTCTCATTTTAACCATCCAAGATATTTAAAACTTGATATACAGATACCCACCTGTGTTCACAGACCCCTCTCCTCAGTTAGCAGGGACAGGACTAAACATCCTTTCCTGGAAAGGAAGGTTTACGCTTGATGAAACATGGGACCATGTTCCTTTCGGACATAAAACAAGGCTGACAGCAGTGCTTGAACTACTCAGCAGCATCCCTTTATGAGTGTTGCTAAATTAAATGCGTCCTGAAAGTTTACCACCAGTTTTTGTACTGTGGCAGGATGAGATATCAGTGCACAGTTTTCTTTCCCTCCCCCTCCCTAGGTTTCCTGTAACTCATTTTTTTAATTAAAAAGAAGAATCCAAACGCGATGTCTTTGCAAAAAAAAAAACCCTCATGCATATCTGTGTTGACAGTGATTGATTTTGTTGTCTTAACCTGCCACTATCTCTTTTGCGAATAGATGTCAAAAGGCAGGGTAAGATACTAGCAGAATCTCCCCATTAATATTCCAGTGTGGTTGGCCAGACAAAGGGACCTGATTGAGCATATTATAGTAGCTCAGAACTTGGCAAGGGGAGAAAGGAAAGAAAAGTCATGCCTCTATTCGTATAATTAGTTTTTAAAGCTCTGAAGGCTATTTGGCACCGGGGTGAGTGTGAAATATGCTGCCCTTATCGCTTTATAAAGGTTAGCCTTCAGTTCATTACTGAATCAGATACGTTGGTGATAAAACCCAAAGATGTATCATTTCCAGGTTTGCCTTTGACGAGGAAAAGCGATGTAAAAAGAACTTTAGATCTGGTCACGCTCGAGTTACAGCAGAAATTCTTGGTTTTCGGTGCAGCCCTGCAGCACAAGGAGGGGCAGGGGGCAAGGGTGCTGTGCACCCGAGGGAAACCACGTCTTCGGGGCGCTGAGGAAGGCGTGCTGGCAATTCACGGGGCAACAGATTTGCCTGGAAAAACCCCACGTTGGTCTGAAGATTACCACAACACAGATTATTCTGGTTGCAGATCTGAGATACCAAACCTGTGTTAGGAGGAGGATGGTGATTTTCTTCTCACCTTTTGATTCCAGCAAGCTCCTGAACGCTGAACTTAACCTTAACCTGAGAATCTAATCCTAATGGAGCAATTAAAAAAAACACTTCTCAGCGTCTCCATGTGCCACATGACTTTGCCTTTCACTGCTTTTGTTTTTTTTAATGAGGATAACCTGACTGCAGGGTGCTCCAGCTGCCTGCTGCTTCTTCCCCTGCCTCTCCTGTTCACTTCAGAATGCTCATCCCTCCTTGCTCTACACCAAAAGGAGGGGGGTATATATATTCATACAACATGGAAGGGTACCTGTGCAATAGCAGATCCTTCACCAAATTCATCCAAATGGCATTAGTCAGAAGAGTTACACTATCCCTGCTACTTACTAGGATCTCTTCTCTCCCCCCGGTTTAGTTAATGCTGATCCTCTGACTGTATTTCCAACATAAAGCTCAAGCCTGCGTGCAGATGTGGGTCTGCTTTGGAAATGTGTCACTGTTGGACAAGACAAAAATGTCAGGATAAAGGAAGAGAGCAGGGATGGGCTAAAGGGTGTCCCTCCAGAAGACATGATGGGAGCAATAAAGGTACTCTCCGGTTTTGGATATATATTGGGACTGTCTTGGGAACCACTGTCTTGCCTCAGCTCCCGTGGGGCATGCAGCACATCTCGCCTGTGCCCTGGGACAGCACATCATCTATCCAACAGCATCAAAGACACCGGGGTACCCTCCAGAGAATGAAATCTCCTTTCCTTTCCGTTTCATGGGGCAGAGTGCGCGCAGCTGATGGTGGATGGATTGAGCACATCTCTACTCCAAAAGCAAAGCTTTGCTTAGCCCTGGGAGTAAGATGCAGAGTTAAAGGAGCTAGTGGTCTGAGGCGTGATTTTACACAGCGGTGGATTAGAAAGGCTCCCCTGAGTTCTTCCCCAGAGAGCAGGGCAGTAAACTCAAGAGGTTGGTCCAGAGCTCCTAGGACTGGTCACAGCTTGAATTACTTCAGCTGTTTCCAAAAGGATCAACATGCTGTAAACTTCCCATTGTGTAAATAAACAGTCTGGAAAGCAGAATTGGGAACGAGCTGGGACAAGTTGCATTGAACCATCAAGTCCTTCCCTTCGTGCAAAGGGAGAGCTGTGATGGCAGGAGCATGGAGTTCAGGTCCTACCTTGGGGTAGGGTGGTCTTCTCTTGTTCCACCTCTCTGGGCAGCCAGAAGGCACTGGCCAAAGTTTTCATCAAAAGCTAAATCTCAGGTTGTTCCATCTGCTGTCTGGTGGGTGTTTTTTGTGGTATTAGGTTTGGAGCTTTCTGTTATTTTTATTCTCTTTTGCTGTCTTAGTATTTCTCCTGCTCCGTGGTTCTTTTCTGAAGCCTTGATGGTTTATGGAAGGCTTTTCCGCTTCTTTACCTCTTAGCTCTCCCTCCCATTCTCAGTTGTAGCTTTTCTGTCTGTCTTTCCTTGTTTCTCTTTCTCTCAAGAATAAAAGGTCTCCCTCTCCAATTTCTCAGGCTCTATTTATTATATTCACCATACTTCTAAAGGGTGAAAGGATAAATTTGTAAGATTGGCAGCAGACTGTAGACCTTTTTTCCCTCTACTGGGACTATGAACCTGAGCGTACCATAGGTGTGAATCATTTCCATTTGATGACAGGCTGCTCCTTCATATGACATGGGTTTCTAGACCTCTTTTTTGGATCCTAC